AGTTAGATTGCTATAGCTTTTCTATATTGTCAGCATTAGAGATGTTCTTAATTATAGAGATATAATTGAGCTGTTACAAATTTGTGTGCAAGTAAACTTTAACGTGTTTGAATTGTATTCTTCTCAGTGACTGATGTCTGTGTTGGTATGAGTTGATATCCAATAGGAATTAATAGGATAAGCAGTACATTTTTTTCAATCCAAATATATTTTTAAAAATCTAGGCAAAAATTGGTCCTTCGTTATACTTCCTCTGACCACCTCCCCTTGTTGTAGTTTTCAGTCACCAACAGTAGTATTTCTGCACAAATACCTTGAAACAACAAAATTCTGTTTGCATTTGGTTCCAATTTTTTGGAGGGAGCAAATGGTAAGAAATTGCTGTATTCCACAAAATACTTGAATGTTATGCTGAAACATTGAGGAATCTCTTTGCTTTTCAGTTCAGCATGTAATCCAGGTATCAGAAGAGGTGTGAGAGGATGCCATGTAATGGCACAAAGTCGGAATTGGAAGGAGAATTGGAAGCCCTGGGGTTTTTATTCTTGGCTGGACTATAAACCTGTTATATGACCTTGAGCAGAGCACATTAACCCCGACTTTCCAAAGCATTTGCACTCCTGAACTGGATCTATATGTTGGTCAGTTGCAATTTCCTGTGAGGTGAGAATGGTGCCTTAATAGGGTGCAGACAGATCATTAACACAGAGTGCTGCAAAGTTCTCCACTGAAAAGCGTTACAGGCAGTGGGAAGTATTATTAGGAACTAATAATATTATAAATTAGTCATTATAATATAGTGAGGTTTACCCTATGATGCTGTACTTTACCCTGAAGAAAGATAGGTCATAAGCTGCTTAGAAGTTTTTTAGAGTAGACTGCAGCATTTAAGGGTCTTTAGAACATTTCCGCAATATTAAAATGATTTTTCAGCCTGCATAGTAGCTTCTTCAGTCTAGTCTAAGGTTTTAAAAAAGTAAAACAAACAGAAGCCCAAGGTATTATTTACCTAATTAGTCCTTTCTGCAGCATGAATTTATTTCTGAACTTCATTTCTGCTTAATAAGTATCATATCTGTTGATGATCCTCATGTTACTAAGCAACACCAACACCGACAAATAATAGGGGAAAAACACGTAATAAGGCACTGTAATTCTGATCATGTGTCATGGGGTTAATTTCCTAAGAAATGTCTTCTCAGATTCAAAGAGTGTGCAGTGCAGCACTGTAAAATATATTGTTTTCATTACAAAAAGCAGTTCATATCTCCTAAAAATGTGCATTTAATTGCATAAAGGCATAAAAGCAACACAAAAATTATTCAAATAACATTCCAATTATATATGATAAATAATCTTTAAAACCTTTACAGTTATGTAGAAATTATAACTTAACCACAGGATCTAACATCTTAGAGTTTCGTTGAAATCAATCAAATGTCTTAGACTGAAGCTAGAATGTTGTTCTGATAGAATTGCTCCCAAAGGCAATTTTTATCTGTTTAGGCACCAATTTTACAGCACATTCTGAATTTGATTATTTCTGGTAGAATTTCCTGGGTAAGGTCTTGTTCTAGCAATGACTCTAAGAAATTTTTAAAACAACTAATTAATTACAAACTGGTTGAACTACCATAACTGTTTTAAAAAATGCGACTACTACTTTGATCCATAGAAAATGCACAATCTCTTCTGCTACTTGCTTTCTGAGTGTGTTTTATAGAGAAACGTTGATTTCAGATGCTATATTAAACAGACTCTCACTCACATCACATGTGAGCCTGATAATATTTTGGAAGACCAATCTTTCCTCAGTAATAAGTATGAATTTCTCACCAATCTCTTTGAGTTTCAGTATTTGCACCTGATTCCCAGGTGCATGAAACCAGAAAACACTCAGGTAATTAGGGATAAAATAATATTAGTGTGTAGAGGTTTTATAAATAAAATTAAAAAGTGAATTTGAGCATTTTTTCATCCATCACCACACCTCTGTCTATACCACTGCAGAGTCCCCAGTTTCAAAGACTTCTTTTTCTTTTTTAATCTGGTTTTAGTTTATTTCAGAGAAAATCCTGCTTTTTTCTCTTGCATTCTGTTTTTTTTATTTAAACTATTAACCTTTAGTTAATAGGTAGTCTTAAGAATACTTATTACAAAAACTCTAAAAAAAGTTTTCTTTCTGTTTAAATAAAGTTGCCTAAAATACCTGTCAAGAATCAGTTCATGAAATTGTTTCAAGATAGAATAGTTCTGGAAATTAAATCAGATAATGAACTGTATGTCTCCACCTTGGTATTTGCAAGTCATTCCTTGCTTGGCAGACTTTCAGGCTAACATTGCCTTAGTTCAAAACATTATATACAGGTGTACATGCATTTGTAATGTATAATGCGCTGTATTAGCACAAATGAGGTAAATTGAAAAAAATGGTAATGTGATTACAAAAACATTTCCTCAATCTTCCTGAAATAATTTTAATTTAAAACCGACAATGAGTGGAATATAAATTGACGCTGGGATTTCAGAACAGGTTAAAAGACAGATTAACTGCTCCCTTGCCCCTCACTCCAAAATCCCAGTCTAGTGGCATCACAGTTCTGGAAAGCAGCTGTGCTGCCATATGTTGCTACTTCAGAGACCATCTTATGCATTGCTCTACCATTACTCAGACTGAACTGTTCAAAAATTTGGCTTGAAACTATTAAAGCAGAGTCACTTGTTTGAAGGCTGGCATTTCAGGAGTCATCCAGGGTGTGATGTGTCATATTTCATGCTGTACATTCTATGGAGCTTTTCAAAACCAACCCTAGCTCCCATTATAGCAGAATGTTTTTTAATTCCTGACAGCACCAAATAGCATGTTTGCAATTTCCCAAATTTGTCATCCAAAAGAATAGTAAGTACAAATGGTTTTGGTATAACCATACCTGTTCTTCCCTCCTCTAATTGCTAGAAATGCTTACATTCTCTGCTCTTGAGAACTTCAAATACAACTTCCATGTGCAGTTCTTAGTAAAAAACTTGTGATCTTTAAAATGAAACTTCCATTCCAGTTGGTAAAGGAGAGCAGTATTTTCTACAGTCTGGCATTACAAAGCCAATTTGTACTTGGACTTTTGCAATATTTAGTAATTGTATGTTTACACACTTTTGCTAGTTGAAACTGTGCTCTTTTTGAAGAAGCAGTTGCCCTTTAGGTCTTGCTTGGACATAACAGGGAATCCTCTCCACAGATTTCCTCACTAAAGGTAATAGTTTATTTTTTAAATTGCAGTTTTAGGGTTAATATTTGCTATCTATCTGTGAGTTTAGCACTCATTGAGGCTAACAAGAGTCATTCCCTAGATAGCCAAGAAGCTGGAGTAGGTTTTAATAAGATTTAGAAAATAGATTTAATGAATCTGCTGCATTGCCTAGAATATTATCAAAAATTTAAAATCTTTAAATCTGTAAAGTAAGCCTCAAAGTACACAATTTTTAAATAGAAATATCGAATGTTTCTGAGGGCCATGACCAATGGGAATTGGCTGTGTTTTCTAAGGCTGTTTCTAAGAGGCAGAGTACTGTGACCAATATATTCAGAAAAAGAAAGACTAACTGACAGTGAAACTGAAGAAGGAGCTGAAGTTGTAGCATTTCTGAGACTACTTTAAAATATGAACCATAACTCAAATAGATTTCAAAAATAGTTATTGTTTTTTAAATGACTGCTGCTTCACTGTATGAAAAAGCTTGTTTCCACACTCTACATTGATAAACAAAACAAGCTAAGAATGTAATCTAACCTACAAGTCTTAAAATCCTGTAATTGCTCAGAAATGGAATGAAGCTGAAGAATCCTTTCAATGAGCATTTGTCCTGTAAGATTTTCAGACATAGAAACTGGCAATCCAAGAACAGTGGTTCCAGTGCAAGTGTTGCATTGATCTGAATTTTTTATTCTCATTGTGATGGTAGATCTGTAAGCAATCTGTTTCAAATAATGTATACAGGCTACCCAAAAGATTTCAAATGTCAGCAAATCAAGTTACAGAGACATTTTCTTTCACTTATATTCGCATGGGCACATACCTGCAAGCCTAAAGTTTTTACAAATTTTGAAGATCTTTAACATTCACCACTTCTTAAAATGATCATATGTTAGGTGGATTAAGTAAAAGAAGTTACTCCACTTCAAACAGACTTGATTCCCTTCAGACGTTTTTAAGTGCCCAGAAATCATCCATTTGACTCTTATATGGATGGAGTTTTGGAGTAACTGCAGAATATTACTTGATTTTTGCCAAGATTTCCCCAACACTTAACATAACTATGTATCACAACACTTGGATAGTTGAAAAGAATCCACCGTCTCATTTATTTTTTTCCCAGGTTGATGCAACTCAGTCACTTTATTCTTGCTTTGACACACAATTTTCTACTCTAAAGGGCTCAGATTTCAAAATTTTGCCTATACCTGGGTTTTGTTTTCTGTGTCTAAGTAAACAGAATTTTTTCATATGATTTGTATCTCACTAGAACCCAAATGGTTGCACAACCATCCAGGTCTGTTAGTTACATTAGGATATACTAATCTAGCAGGCAATTTGAGGACAGGCGTTGACATTCAAGCATACTTTGGAATTATTTTTAATATCATAGTGGGTATGGTATTTATAAAAAGAGAAGTATATGTATATATGGAAGGTAATTAGGAAAATCAAAGCAAGCAACTAATGGTCAAGAATTTAAAATCAGATAAACAATTCTAATCTTCTGCTTAGAGGTAATCAAAGCTGTTGAATGGTTAGTATCCATCATTGGTCACCCATGGGTAAGGGGAAAAAAGAACGCTTGGGGTTCTTCTTGTCCTCCTGAAATGAAATCAGGGAAAGCAAATAACTTCACTGTAAATTTTCAGTTAGGATCACAAATCAGATTCACTAATTTAATTGTGAGTTGAATTTTCAGCTGATGATGGGTTTGGAAATACTGACTTGTCTTATTTTATTTTCTAGATGCTTCAGAAACTTGCTGTGTGCTTACCACGGGTTCTGCCAACCATCTCAAGAGGGGACTTACATGTTCTTTCATTAGTAAGCATAACGTTATCTTGAAATAATTATTCCTCTCCACATGGCCTTCCTACTAGTGTCAGCTTATCTTCTGCTGACTCATGCTCGGGGTGCTCCTGTTGAGAATGGGGCACTGTTGGAAACACTGAAGTCACAAGTAGGATTATTCAGCAATAAAAGTGAACACTATTCAACACAGGTGAGACCTCCTGGCACGAGCCGACAAATACCTCAGACAATCATCATAGGAGTTCGTAAAGGAGGGACAAGGGCTTTGCTGGAAATGTTGGATATTCATCCTAATATTGTGGTAGCAGCTACAGAAGTCCACTTCTTTGACTGGGATGAAAATTATGTGAAAGGAATAGACTGGTATAGAAATCTGATGCCATTTTCTTATGGAAATCAAATAACAATTGAGAAAACACCAGGCTATTTTACATCACCACAGGCTCCAGGAAGAATTCATGACATGAATAGCTCCATTAAACTGCTGCTCATTCTAAGAGATCCCACTGAGAGAGTTATATCTGACTATACCCAAGTATATTACAACAGAGTAGAAAGCCACAAGCCTGTTCAGCTTTTTGAAGATATTGTTATTAAGAATGGAGTGCTTAATACCAAATACAAAGCTATTCAGAGAAGTCTATATGATGTTCATATGGAAAAGTGGCTTAAGCATTTCAGTTTGGATCAGATTCATATAGTGGATGGCAATACTTTAATCAAGGACCCTCTTCCTGAATTACAAAAAGTTGAAAGATTTCTAAATCTTCCTTCTCGAATTATGTCTTCTAATTTTTATTTTAATCAAACCAAGGGATTCTACTGCATTAGAAGTGATGGGAGGGAGAGATGTTTACATGAATCCAAAGGACGTCCCCATCCTCTTGTTAACAGCACTGTTTTAGAGCAGTTGTATTCTTACTTCAGAGAGCACAATGCAAAATTTTACAGAATGGTTAATCATTCCTTTGACTGGCATTAATACATCTGGAGTCAATATTCCTTAAAAAGGGACTGAAGCAAACTCTTTCAAATATATCTTTATAAACTGTAAAGACCCGTATTATGAAAATTAACATACTGGTTATATGCTTCATTGGAATAACACATCTGTTAATTCATTGAAATGGTACTCTTTATGTTGGGAAAAATAAGTTTTATGTATTTGTATGATTACTGTGAGTCATATTCTGATCTTTCATCATGCAAATACATTGACTTCAGCAAACTTAGGACAGATGTGTATCTCTACAAGATTTGTGCTGTTTTGGAAAAATGCTTCTAACTGTAAAAGATGTAAATATTTGAAATGGTATTATTCTAATTGTTCTGTATTTTTTGTTGTTATAATTTTTTTATATTCCCACACAACGATAGTGGTGTTGATTTCTAGAATTTTCATAAAATAAGCTAAAATTGTATGTTAAAACTGGGGCATAAATAGTGGCTCCAATAAATCATTCATCCTCTTTAATATGCTGAAGTACTTAATCAATAAATAATAAAAGGAATCTCCTTCACCTGTAATTTTGAATAGGTGAACTAGAAGCTACCTGTCTGTATATCATTAGTATTAAACTATTAAACCACACTCTTACTATCCTGGGTTTGCAAAAACATCTCCAAAGTCTCCACAGTAAGAACATGAACAGTTCAAAGAAGATTAAAGTGAGAGTTCTGAATGTAAAGAAATTAAAATATTCCAGGCAGCCTCAATTTACAGTGATACTTTATACACTAAAAAAAAAAAAAATGCATAAAAATTATTAGTATCAACAGCTGCACAAATATTTGATTATATCAATTTTGTCACTTTGCTCTTGAATGGAAAGTTAGTACTACCATATTAATTATGTTTGCATTCTGTGACTAGTTATTCTATTGCTCTCCTGGTGTTAGTTTATATATCTCCATTGACACATTGATTCTTGTTAAAAAAAAAATTATTATTTGTTTGCCCCCTGAAGCATGGAGTAGTTTTTATTTTGCCATTTCTAATGCAGATCATGGAATACTCTCAAAATAACACCTTGTTAAGTTATATATCTCAGGCAGTGTTCAATATGCTCAGTATGACATACTCAGATTATATATAAGAAGCACATCTGTCTAGAGCCCTGCATTAGGATTCTATTTTCAATTTTTTTTTTTACAGTATTGTGCTAGTCTTTTCTACTTTTTCTTGTAAACATTTTACTATCAATACCAAAGAAAAAAATCGACTTGAAATGTTAAATTTGCTGCCAGATAGACCTACAGATGCAGATGGGCTTGTTTGCCATTGCACCTTGCAATCCAGACACCCTGGTGCAGCCCCTGCTATAAGCAGCACTCATCAGGTGCCAGCCCCTCAAGCCCTGAGAGCCCTGGTGAGCTGCAGTGGTGTGGGCCCACCCAGCATTGCAGCATCAAACTCCACCCAGCCCTGGGGAGGGTCTCGCCGCTGTGTCCCGTCTGTCACTGCTCAGCCTGCAGGAGTGGATGTTCCTAGCATGGGGTTCAGTCTTCTACTTCCAGGCTAAAAGGTATGTATTGCAGTGCTAATTTTTGGGCTTCTAATACTTTATGACTGGGCTATTTAGATATTAGGCAGGTAGTACTATTCCACTGAAGCTGGACAGAACCAGAATCGACTCAGAGTATGTGGAAACAGCCTTCATCAATATTTCCTCAATAAATGTAAAATGTTAAAAATAATATAATAAATCTTGTTATTTATCTGTTCCACTACTTGTATATGTATATATGAGAGAAAATTATTTTCATTAGCATATAATTAATCTCTGAAATTACCTGTCTGGAGTATAATTGTTTACTACATCTTTGATTTCTACAGAGGCCCAAATTGTTTTTTACTTCTGCCACTTTTTCTGAGATTGTGGCTTCTTAATCATTAATATTGATCAGATGTGGGCACTAAGAAGTACAATGTCAATGGTACTCTGTGGAAATATGAATATATTTGTTTCAAATTAGCCAAACAATGCATTGTTTGTGCTGGTCTTCTACCATCTCTACAATGACATTGGATAGGTAAACTGTAATAATTACAGTTGTACAGATTAACGTCTCCTTTGTCATTTGTCAAGTAAAAAGTTACACTACAAAAATTCAGAACTCTGAATTAACAGTATGATTCTATATCAGAACAACTCTGTATTTTGTGGGCACAGCACTTTTATCTGATAACAGAAGTCCCAAATTCAGATTCGCAGTATTTTTTAACATAGCCTGTTTTTTCTGACCAATGTAATCTCAGTGATAAACAAAACCCCTTTCAGTCCACTGATTTCAGATTTATATTATTGAAGATAGCAACATAAGTGCAATTTGTATCAGATACAAATATATTACTTTGTTTCTCATACATTCCAAAACTCTCTTCCTTTTCTCTCTCTCTCTCTCTCTCTTTTTTTTTTTTTCTTGCAAGAAGCAAATTTGAAAGCAATGTATACTTTAGCAAAGGTTTCAGGTAGATGCTAGTAATTGAAGAATTCACATATCTATATGCCACATTCAATTTTATAAGCTTCCAAGAAAAAGGAAGGGAAAAAATTCTAATGTCTTTCTATATTTATGCCTGCAGGCATCAAGTCTTTCTCTTTCTTCTCTGAGTTTACAGCTAATCTTTAAATGAGCTGAATGCAGGAACATCAGTTGGCAGGAGCTTTATGCATCTTTGAAAATGCAGGTCCCTTTCTGGAATTTACATTTAAAGGAGAGCTGAGCTGTATGGATTAGTGATGCATATATCTACTTGATTTGTTATCACCCTTCATTCCTGCTCAGCATTTTTGGGAAGGACAGAGTTGATGGAATGAATTCAATGATCATTTTAAGTTTGCTAATACCTTGAGAAGTATATTATGTATAGTATAATCTGGGTGAACGGTTAGTTGGTTTGGTTTGGTTTTGCATAAATCAAGATTCTCATCATAAGTTTATCTTTAGTAAATGGTCTACAATAACCTCTGCATAACAGAATTCAATAAATATAATAGACTGTAATTTTATAGTGCAGACTGTTTCAATCAATTTCTCATTTTGTGGTCTGAAAAATATGCTCTCACGCAGTCCTGGCCTTCTCCATTCTTACTGTCTTCAAGAAAACCCTCCTTGCCTCATGCTCAGGACGGGGATTAGATCAACTTAATAGACAATCCACTGAGCCATACTTAAATAATACTGAAATAAAAGTACTCAGTACTCAGTGGAATTCAGAACTAGTCAAATTTTGGAAAGACCTGTAGGCTTACAATCAGTTTAAAGCTGTTATTAACAAGTAAATTCTCAATTTAAGAAATTACAAATATGTCATTAATTTCCACAATTGATAGTAAACCATAAACTATTCTTCTCCACATGAGTCATCAAAGGACTTATTATTATCTGATACTCAAGAGGTGTTTGCAAGAGTAAATTTCGTGTGCACAGGTCATGCAGTTGTTTCAATGGTTTTTGGAAACATCTGAAACAGATGATATAGTCATGTGTAATACTACTGCAGAACTTGTGATGATTTAATTTTGTTTTACATTCCACAAATACTAAGCTTTCACTTTAAATATTGTTCCTTTCCTTTTTTTTTGTAAAAATGCCGTAGTTATAGTTGCTTTGATCTAATATCACTGAGAATTAACAGTATCAAGCAACTGCAGCTGTAACTGGATCAGTTTAGCCTTTGCCACAATATGCAGCACACACTCTTAATATCTACATGAGTCTAATATTATTATTTTTTTATATAGACTATATATATATTACCAATAGTACATAAAGAAAAATTACTGGGAAACTTAAAAGCCAGGATTTTGCCCAAAAAAACTCCTAATATGTAACTAATGGGAAATAAACAAAGAACTTCTTCTATTGCACTCACATCCATTATTTTAACAGGAATAGGGTTGGATTTTTTTGTTGTATCCTCTGTATCTAGCCTGGCTTTTGATCTTTTCTTTCATAGCTTAGGCTTGATAGAGCATTTACAGTTCCTCTTAAAGAATAACTGTTAAAACAGAGACATTTTTTCAATATTGTGAAAAACTTTATAGAGGGCATGCACATCATTGCAAGCTGCTACACATCAGCTCCTTCAGTATCCACTTGATACAAAGACAATAATCCAATAAAGATTATCTATTGATGACCAATCAGATTGACTACTGTATGGAAGCACATCCACATGAGGAGTTTTCAGTCTTCATACACAGCAAAAAGAAATTTAAAAAAATAAGTTGTTTCTATCAAATTTGACTGCTCATTGCCTTTGCCTATTTGGATGCTTTCATAAATTAGACAAAATTTTTAATATTTACATAATACCTATAATTTCTTGTTTAATCTATGTGGTCAAACACAAAAATATTACTTATCAGTTTGCTTACACAGTTTAACTGAAAAAAAAAGAAAAAGACTTACTCCCCAATACCTTGATTCATAGTAAGAATTGCACAATAACCTTTCCTTGCAGAGAAAGGAATATTTAAATTATTAAAATAAGTAATATAAAATTGTAAATTATTATTTTCTATATTTGTGGATTTGCTCCTTCATTTCCTTCAAAAGCTTGAATTTTGTCATAGAAATACACAGAGGCATTGGAAATAAAATCACTAATAATTTGCCTAGCACATTAATCATTACCAGCAGTTAATGAACAATATTTAGCTACTGGCCAAATAGTTTCCACTTCAATTATTTCAAGTTTCAATGTGACTTACTGAATCATGTTGCTATTTTCTAAAACTAATTTAAAAGTTAAAGCCGACGGTGGCTAAAATGACTCTGTAGTATCATTCTGTGATTACAGAGGAATTGTATTGTCTTGTCTTTAAGGTTAATTAACAGTGACATGTGCTTACTACAATTCCTGAAAATATTTTGGAAGCCAAGATTCTAACAGAATGCAATGTATAAATTAGTCCTTGAACTGCAACTTAGAGAAAATACAACAGATGAAAACAGACTTCTATAAATCATAGTTTTCTCTTAAAATCTATGTGATGCAAAATTTACAGCCTCTCTTGTATTAGCCCATCTACACAAGTACTATGAAGTCTATTTTCTGATGCAAAATAACTTTACACTTTTACGTTTTATGTTTTTTCAGTTCCATCACAAAAACCTCTTGGTAAGTGTGTAAAGAAAAACATCTTCATGTAAACTCTTTATTGGTGATACAATTTTTCTCTCAAAGGCATTTCTCTAGTTTTGTATTGTTTCCTCTGAGATAAAAAGGGGGTTTGAGTCACCCTGCAATAAAAGTAGAGAGTTATCATGTCAGAACTAAGAATATTACTTCTGTTTATTACAGTTCTCAGTGAAAAACATTTTCATATAGGGACAGATAATAGTTTAACAATCTCTTTGTATTTTCTCTGTCTTCATTATTTAATACAACTCTTACAATTTTTCTTATTCTGAAAATAACATTCTTAAGAATGTTACTTGAAACGCTTACATTGTCACTCTAGAGCTCTGACTTACAGATTTAAATCAGATGGCAGTAATAAAAAGGAAGCACAGGTAATTAAGAATCCATTCCCTTTGTCTCTTGGATTGGCTAAGGTTTTCTTATTTTTAAACTCTTTTAATGCGAACATAAATTTTCTGCTACGAATGTATCAGCCAAACTTGCAATATGAAAAAATAGGACAAGGGCAACTAGAAACGCAATAAAACCTGAGCTGAAGGCCCTCTTCTGCTAAATATTTGTTGATATAATATGACACAGTTACAAATGAAAATTATGA